CACATGTAGACACTCCCTATTGTTATAGCCTTTCCACACATGTAGACACTCCCTATTGTTATAGCCTTTCCACACATGTAGACACTCCCTATTGTTATAGCCTTTCCACACATGTAGACACTCCCTATTGTTATAGCCTTTCCACACATGTAGACACTCCCTATTGTTATAGCCTTTCCACACATGTAGACACTCCCTATTGTTATATCCTTTCCACACATGTAGACACTCCCTATTGTTATAGCCTTTCCACACATGTAGACTCTCCCTATTGTTATATCCTTTCCACACATGTAGACGCTCCCTATTGTTATAGCCTTTCCACACATGTAGACTCTCCCTATTGTTATAGCCTTTCCACGTATGTAGACGCTCCCTATTGTTATATCCTTTCCACACATGTAGACACTCCCTATTGTTATAGCCTTTCCACACATGTAGACACTCCCTATTGTTATAGCCTTTCCACACATGTAGACACTCCCTATTGTTATAGCCTTTCCACACATGTAGACACTCCCTATTGTTATAGCCTTTCCACACATGTAGACACTCCCTATTGTTATATTCATTCCACATATGTAGACACTCCCTATTGTTATAGCCTTTCCACACATGTAGACACTCCCTATTGTTATATCCTTTCCACACATGTAGACACTCCCTATTGTTATATCCTTTCCACACATGTAGACTCTCCCTATTGTTATAGCCTTTCCACGTATGTAGACGCTCCCTATTGTTATATCCTTTCCACACATGTAGACTCTCCCTATTGTTATAGCCTTTCCACACATGTAGACACTCCCTATTGTTATATTCATTCCACACATGTAGACACTCCCTATTGTTATAGCCTTTCCACACATGTAGACACTCCCTATTGTTAAAGCCTTTCCACACATGTAGACTCTCTGTATTGTTATATCCTTTCCACACATGTAGACACTCCCTATTGTTATAGCCTTTCCACGTATGTAGACACTCCCTATTGTTAAAGCCTTTCCACACATGTAGACACTCCCTATTGTTATAGCCTTTCCACGTATGTAGACACTCCCTATTGTTAAAGCCTTTCCACACATGTAGACACTCCCTATTGTTATAGCCTTTCCACGTATGTAGACGCTCCCTATTGTTAAAGCCTTTCCACGTATGTAGACGCTCCCTATTGTTAAAGCCTTTCCACATATGTAGACACTCCCTATTGTTATAGCCTTTCCACGTATGTAGACACTCCCTATTGTTAAAGCCTTTCCACACATGTAGACACTCCCTATTGTTATAGCCTTTCCACGTATGTAGACGCTCCCTATTGTTAAAGCCTTTCCACGTATGTAGACGCTCCCTATTGTTAAAGCCTTTCCACATATGTAGACACTTCCTATTGTTATATCCTTTCCACACATGTAGACACTCTCTATTGTTATATCCTTTCCACACATGTAGACTCTCCCTATTGTTATAGCCTTTCCACACATGTAGACTCTCTCTATTGTTATATCCTTTCCACACATGTAGACACTCCCTATTGTTATAGCCTTTCCACACATGTAGACACTCCCTATTGTTATATCCTTTCCACACATGTAGACACTCCCTATTGTTATATCCTTTCCACACATGTAGACTCTCCCTATTGTTATAGCCTTTCCACACATGTAGACTCTCCCTATTGTTATATCCTTTCCACACATGTAGATGCTCCCTATTGTTAAAGCCTTTCCACACATGTAGACTCTCTCTATTGTTATATCCTTTCCACACGTGTAGACTCTCCCTATTGTTATAGCCTTTCCACACATGTAGACTCTCCCTATTGTTATATCCTTTCCACACATGTAGATGCTCCCTATTGTTAAAGCCTTTCCACACATGTAGACTCTCTCTATTGTTATATCCTTTCCACACATGTAGACTCTCTCTATTGTTATATCCTTTCCACACATGTAGACACTCTCTATTGTTATATCCTTTCCACACGTGTAGACTCTCCCTATTGTTATAGCCTTTCCACACATGTAGACTCTCCCTATTGTTATATCCTTTCCACACATGTAGATGCTCCCTATTGTTATATCCTTTCCACACATGTAGACGCTCTCTATTGTTATAGCCTTTCCACATATGTAGACACTCCCTATTGTTATAGCCTTTCCACGTATGTAGACGCTCTCTATTGTTATATCCTTTCCACACATGTAGACGCTCTCTATTGTTATAGCCTTTCCACATATGTAGACACTCCCTATTGTTATATCCTTTCCACACATGTAGACTCTCCCTATTGTTATAGCCTTTCCACGTATGTAGACGCTCCCTATTGTTATATTCATTCCACATATGTAGACATAACCTATTGTTATATCCTTTCCACACATGTAGACACTCCCTATTGTTATATCCTTTCCACACATGTAGACACTCCCTATTGTTAAAGCCTTTCCACGTATGTAGACTCTCCCTATTGTTAAAGCCTTTCCACACATGTAGACACTCCCTATTGTTATAGCCTTTCCACACATGTAGACACTCCCTATTGTTATATCCTTTCCACACATGTAGACACTCCCTATTGTTATATCCTGTCCACACATGTAGACACTCCCTATTGTTATATCCTGTCCACACATGTAGACACTCCCTATTGTTATATCCTTTCCACACATGTAGACTCTCCCTATTGTTAAAGCCTTTCCACGTATGTAGATACTCCCTATTGTTAAAGCCTTTCCACACATGTAGACACTCCCTATTGTTATAGCCTTTCCACACATGTAGACACTCCCTATTGTTATATCCTTACCACACATGTAGACACTCCCTATTGTTATAGCCTTTCCACACATGTAGACACTCCCTATTGTTATATCCTTTCCACACATGTAGACACTCCCTATTGTTATAGCCTTTCCACACATGTAGACACTCCCTATTGTTATATCCTTTCCACACATGTAGACACTCCCTATTGTTATAGCCTTTCCACACATGTAGACTCTCCCTATTGTTATATCCTTTCCACACATGTAGACGCTCCCTATTGTTATAGCCTTTCCACACATGTAGACTCTCCCTATTGTTATAGCCTTTCCACGTATGTAGACGCTCCCTATTGTTATATCCTTTCCACACATGTAGACACTCCCTATTGTTATAGCCTTTCCACACATGTAGACACTCCCTATTGTTATAGCCTTTCCACACATGTAGACTCTCCCTATTGTTATAGCCTTTCCACACATGTAGACTCTCTCTATTGTTATATCCTTTCCACACATGTAGACACTCCCTATTGTTATAGCCTTTCCACACATGTAGACACTCCCTATTGTTATATCCTTTCCACACATGTAGACACTCCCTATTGTTATATCCTTTCCACACATGTAGACTCTCCCTATTGTTATAGCCTTTCCACACATGTAGACTCTCCCTATTGTTATATCCTTTCCACACATGTAGATGCTCCCTATTGTTAAAGCCTTTCCACACATGTAGACTCTCTCTATTGTTATATCCTTTCCACACGTGTAGATGCCCCCTATTGTTATAGCCTTTCCACACATGTAGACTCTCCCTATTGTTATATCCTTTCCACACATGTAGATGCTCCCTATTGTTAAAGCCTTTCCACACATGTAGACTCTCTCTATTGTTATATCCTTTCCACACATGTAGACTCTCTCTATTGTTATATCCTTTCCACACATGTAGACACTCTCTATTGTTATATCCTTTCCACACGTGTAGACTCTCCCTATTGTTATAGCCTTTCCACACATGTAGACTCTCCCTATTGTTATATCCTTTCCACACATGTAGATGCTCCCTATTGTTATATCCTTTCCACACATGTAGACGCTCTCTATTGTTATAGCCTTTCCACATATGTAGACACTCCCTATTGTTATAGCCTTTCCACGTATGTAGATGCTCTCTATTGTTATATCCTTTCCACACATGTAGACGCTCTCTATTGTTATAGCCTTTCCACATATGTAGACACTCCCTATTGTTATATCCTTTCCACACATGTAGACTCTCCCTATTGTTATAGCCTTTCCACGTATGTAGACGCTCCCTATTGTTATATTCATTCCACATATGTAGACATAACCTATTGTTATATCCTTTCCACACATGTAGACACTCCCTATTGTTATATCCTTTCCACACATGTAGACACTCTCTATTGTTATATCCTTTCCACACATGTAGACACTCTCTATTGTTATATCCTTTCCACACATGTAGACACTCTCTATTGTTAAAGCCTTTCCACACATGTAGACACTCTCTATTGTTATATCCTTTCCACACATGTAGACACTCCCTATTGTTATAGCCTTTCCACACATGTAGATGCTCCCTATTGTTAAAGCCTTTCCACACATGTAGACACTCTCTATTGTTATAGCCTTTCCACATATGTAGACACTCCCTATTGTTATATCCTTTCCACACATGTAGACTCTCCCTATTGTTATAGCCTTTCCACGTATGTAGACGCTCCCTATTGTTATATTCATTCCACATATGTAGACATAACCTATTGTTATATCCTTTCCACACATGTAAACACTCCCTATTGTTATATCCTTTCCACACATGTAGACACTCTCTATTGTTATATCCTTTCCACACATGTAGACACTCTCTATTGTTATATCCTTTCCACACATGAGGCACTCCCTATTGTTATATCCTTTCCACATATGTAGACACTCCCTATTGTTATATCCTTTCCACATATGTAGACACTCCCTATTGTTATATCCATTCCACATATGTAGACACTCCCAATGGTTAACTTTCAAGGACTGTTTCTCTATGAAAGGAATCAATACAAAATTGTTTTCTCTACAACACTAATTTATATCTAAGTTGTTAGATTTATATTATTATGATGGCCAAATCGCTCAGTTTCACTGGGTTTGGGATTTGGCTGAAGTTATTGAATTACGGGGTCTAAAGTATAAATCTTGTTCTGTTGATAGCAATGATGCCAGTGAAAACAGAAGTGCCCCAGAAGATGTCGAAGCTGTGCTCCGGGGCTCGAAGGTCATTCTTCTTCCGGATGAAGTATGGATCCAAATCATCAGCCAATCTGCCGAATAATAATGCAATGAAGAAAGATCCTGACTCCTATCAATATAACAGGAAAAAGAAATCAGGTTGGTCCTGTTACATCCTCGATCATTCAGTGTAGTGTACTGCCATTCTGTTGTGATATGCCCCATGGCGATTCCTGGTTAGAATTAGTTCCTGCAACCTGTGCTGGTCGGACGCGGCGACTTCATGGATCAGGTGATCAGGCATGGTGACTTGGTTGATTGTGTGTCATCATTGCGATATCACCAGCATGCGAACCTCTTTGTTTTGTACGGTCTCAAATACATCTGAATACTTCCTTCTCCCTGTCTTCCAACTCAGGGAAAGCCTTGGTACTGCTGTTCTGTGTGGCGCCAAAGTTCACCCTGCAGAGTTATGTCCCTTAGCTGTGACAGAATCTTCTGCTCATCTGGGTTTGGACTGATTGCAAGCCTGGGTACTGCTGTTCTGTGTGGCGCCAATGTTCACCCTGCAGAGTTATGTCCCTTAGCTGTGACAGAATCTGCTGCTCATCTGGGTTTGGACTGATTGCAATCCATGTCACCCCATATCCAGAGTTTTAAAGTAGTAAACAAGTACCAGCACCATTGTTGCATTTTTCCATATTGTTTGCATTTTTTAAAACGTTGTACTAAAACTAACTCCCTCACTCACCCTGCAGATAAGAAGAACTATGTAATCATCCACTGTAGCGGCTACCTCAAGTCCTGGTCGTCCAGCAAGATGGGCATCGATGATGACAATGAAAGTGACGAAAGTCCTAGCCTCAGTTGCCTTGTTGCCATTGGTCGAATCCAGCCTACCTGCCAGTCTCAGCCTTCATCATCGCCTAGCAACATCAACATTCGACCAATGGAGTACATGTCTCGACTTAGTATAGATGGAAAATTTGCAAATGTTGATGAGCGGTGAGTTTTTGTATTCTCCCCAGGGAGCTGAGAATGATTCTTGAGTGCACAGTGACCGGGGTAATAATAGCACTTTGAGCATGCCTCTGAGTGGTGTGGATATATGCGCAATAAAAATGGCCTATTATAGAGCAGAAGATTGGTGGTTCAATGCCATGTTGCGGCATACCAAAAAAGATGTTTACATGCCTGGCGCTCAGCATTAAAGGGCAAGTTCACACGGAAATTAACCTATTTTTCTTGTACTTTTTCCACATTAAAAGTGTTAACCTAGAAGTGTCATAGACAAAAATATAAAAATATCACAATTAATTAACATATTTTTCGCATTAAAACGATTTATATTTTTCACATTTACCAAATGTTCTATTTCCACAACAAAAAAACCATGGCTTATGGCCTCTCGCAATATGACGTCATTTGTGCCAATTGATAAACATTATGACGTCATCATGCTTTGTTAGAGCCGCTTCACGTGGTGTAGGTCTAGGTGTGTGATTCTAGCGTCTCAGATGCCAGCCAGCATAGTGTTATGCTGAGTCACCACTGCGCCGGAGTGTGTCGTAGGCCATGTTGTTTTACCGCAAACTGGTACTTGATATCTTTTGCGTTGAGAATAGACAGGGACCCAGTTGAATTGGCACCAATTACGTCATAATCTAAGGGGGATAACTCAGGCCTGTTTAGCTCGAAAAACGAAGGCATCATAACGGCATATCATTTTCACACTATTGTGAGCTTCCTACTTTCACTGTGAAAAAAATGAGTGTATATTTTCTAACACAGATACTAATTAATTCTAAAATTGCGTTTTGTTTAGAAAAAGAAAGAAAGTGATTTTTGCGTGTACACTTCCCCTTTAAGGGTCTAAAATAAGGACTGGTCATCTTGGGGTCAGTATACCATGTACGAGTGGAGTATCTATGTTAAACTATGGCATGGTATCTCAGTAGGCTGGCACTATAAAACCAGCTTTAGTCCGGACTAGTACAAGCAGCCACACATGCAAACACGTCGCTATATAAGTACAATAATCCTGAACATATTGTTAAACACCATTTCACCTCACTAAGGTGGTAATTGTCCAAGACCTGCCTCACTTTGGTGTTTCCCCTCAAATCAAGTTGACATGCATGATGGGACTGAGAAACTGTTGAAAGCAGCAGTAACCTAACTCACTCATTCCAGTGTCTGACCTGGTTGTTTGTGTGACCTTGACCTGCAGTGACCTTGACCTACAGTGACCCTGACCTGCAGTGACATTGTGCATGCTTTAACCACAGGGTTACTGATATTTGCTGGATGCTGATATTTCTGAAATATTATCATAATATGTCGTACAACAACATTCATTCACTCAACTGTCAGATCCTTTGATATCAGTTTAACTCCCATGTAGTGATAATGTTATAAGTCTTTTTGGAGTAAAGATCTTGGCATCCGACTTGTTATATGACTTCACTTTATTAAATCCTCAGCTGTCATTTAATATTCAACAAGGAATTAATAGCACATAATCTGATACTCGTTTTTATTTTTAAAACCTATTTGTGACAAATATGACGTTTATCACCAGGCTTCCTGTGACATCCGCATCAGAGAAAGTCTGGATTATGGTTGATGATCTAGAAATAGGCAGGAAATGGAAAGACAATATTACTCCTTGGTGCCTGCTTGTTCGGATATAGACATGGCCACTGCCATTAGTCAAAGACTAGTCAAAATGAGGGACTTGCGTTCCTGCCAAAAAGATCTAGTTATGTTACCATGGTTACAAAAACCATTTGCCAGAAATGAGCTGGGGACTAGTAGGGTATGGCCAATGGTGTCAATCTTCGTTGTGCTACCAAACTGTGTGTTCATATATTCGACATGACCTTCTCGGCTTGCCAATTTCTTGTATTGTAATGATTGAAGCATTGAAACACTGAAAATAGTTCAGTTTCAACGCAGAGCCATGATAGTACCAACAATAATTATGAAGATGTGGATTATATTTTATCTTATCTATGCATGTAAGTAAAATCACATTTGTTTTACTACTGTTAACTAAATTTCGACTTATAATATTTGGTACATTAGAGAATAGAGCAAGTTTAAGAAGTCTTGGCTTTATTTTTTATTTTTTCATGAAAGATAGAAACAAACATATTTCATCATTCTCTTACTTCCTCATTGCATGTCTTTTAATGTTGTTATTGTTGCCTTTTATGTTGAGGGGAGTGGCAACTTCTATTTTAAATCAATTTTGACTGTATCCTGTTTATTAATGCATTTTTATCACTGAACAATTTAAAAAATGAGACGAGACTCCTGGGCTTATGACGACATCCTTCTTTTTTATCTGTCAGTAAATCTGTAATGAATGAAAAAATATGAGGTTAATGTAAAACAGATGTCTTTAGTTTTTACAATCTTTCATGTGCGTTTTTATTCTCGTTGCAATTTCTCATTTCTTTATTTGTGTATCTTTCTCACAGGAAAATATATTCTGTACCTGAAGCATGGAGTATACAACATATTGCTTTTTGATCCAAAGCAAAACTATTCTTCTGACAAAGCTTCATTAAATATTTTCTTTAGAAATAATAAAAATGGTATTTAAGTCCTAAATAATTTCATATTGCCATGCATTAACTCATAGTTTGGCCTAGCTAACATTGACTCAAGTCAGGTAAATGTGAAAAGTGAGAGAGAGGTTTCAGCTCTTCTGTTTTCTTAGGGCGGTACTCGCATCCCGCCATGGTATTGTCAACAACTTTCTCTTTGTTGAGAAAATAATGCCAATGCGTCTCGTGCAGAGTTAGTGGGTAAATATTAAGGAGAGTTTTACTCCCATCATATTTAAGGAAATATTTCTCTGTATAAATATTGAAATAATGGATTGTGTCTATGAGAATGTCATCTTGAAACATCCGTCTGTCTTATTCTCTGTTCGCAAATATGTGCCGGAAATGAGAATTTATTTGTTGCTAGAAATGCTGATTGTTTTTGGCAATATATCATGAGAAAAATTCTCCAAGATATGTCCTGATACCTCTGTCCATGAAGCCCTGACTCTTTGGCATCGAAGTCAAAATCGTGCTTGATGGAGTTTGCTCCAAGCTGACAGAAACTGTTTTAGAATTTGCCAAGAATTTAAATGGGAAGCACTTAATCACCACCTTAAAAGAAAAAGAAAGGTAACTGGCTGAAATTCTTCAAAGAAACCTGTTGTTTGTGTAAGTTTTGTAACATTTTGAATACATGTAACTTGTTGTAATTGTGTTACTGTGTGACCTGTTTCGTATGTTCCGCTAAAGTTTCTTCCTCAAATCTGAAAACAGTTCCCTTTCTACAAACATGTAAAAAACATTGGGATGGGTAAAACATGTTATTTTTGGCCTAAACATTGTCTGTTTATGAAAGTCTTTGTAAACTTGCTTGAAGCATTTGGATAATACTTATGAAGGCTATTTAACACTACCTCTCGTGCATAAACCACCAAAGAATTAAACACTTTCAAACGCCAACATAAAACAAATCTTTAGAATAACATTGCTTTTTGCTTTTAACTGTTGTCACTCAAAAAATACTATATATTAAGAATAGAATGTTTTGGAATTTATATGAATCAAAATACAAAAATTTAGTTTGTAGCTTAATTTGAAACTTTGACTTTGAAATTCTGTGTGGAAACTTTGTTTGTAATAAATAACTGGGACTAAGAAAAATAACCTCTTGATATTTTAATTTTTTTTAAATATTTTTCATGTCTGATTTTATGATAATTCCAGCTGTGAATAACTGTTTAATAAATTTCTGTTAATTTCAGATTTTTTATTATCCTTTTATTTTTTTACCCTATCCTGACATATTTATCTGCTTTCAAACTTGCAGAAACATCATTACTCAAAGTATGTTTTGGACTGAAAAAGGATGTAATTTTTTAAAAGTACTACCATTATTCACCTTCAGACATTTACCTTACATCGTCTCATTTGGGGATGGTGGTCAGTCATGGTTACCCAGTCGTTCCAGAGACCTGTGTTCATTGGTAGGAATCACAAATTCGCCCTGATTATGTTTGTATGTTTGTATGCTGCATACAATCTCTGTGGGCTTCATCAAGTGGTCAACATCAAAGACCTGCATCGGTTCAGGCTCTCCTCCCACATCAAGCTGATAAGCTGAGATCTAACTGAAATACTGTTCAAAGCAATGTGAATTTTATGCTCTCTTTTCATGAGAGTTGTACTGCAATGAAAAAGGTCTACCAAGGCATTTCTTTTTAGAGTGAGTGAGTTGGGTTTAATGCCCCTTTTAACAGTATTCCAGTTATATCACAGCGTGTCAGCTTAATGTGGGAGGAAAACCCGAAGTGATGCAGGTCTCAGACGTTTACCACTTCGGTGAAACCCATGAGCATTGGTATTGTGCTGACAAACCTAGAAACATAATCGGGTCAAACCGGGATTCGAACCCACAATCATAGGTTTCTGGCGTGCCCAAGGGACGCAACTCTGTACAGCGAATCGCAGCGTCTTAGACGACTGGGCCACCCATGCCATCAGCTTGATAGGAGGACTGTTTTAACACTTGGTTTTGTGAATCAGTTTAATGTCAAGACACCAGGCAGTACCATAAAAGACTTCAAAACTTTGTTAATCTTAGGGATTGACCGTTTTATATTTGTGGGGTGCCTGGTTTTTTTTCTTTGAGAAAGGAAAAGAAAATTCTCTGGCAGGAAACATCATCGGGTTGAACCGGGATTCGAACCCACAAGTATAGGTTTCTGGCATGACTAAGGGATGCAACTCTGCACAGCGAATCGCAGCGCCTTAGATGACTGGGCCTCCCATGCCCCCTTTCTTTTTAGAGATTGATACTGGTATAGCAATATCAGAAACATTTTGCTTACGTCAATATGAACCATAATATCAAGGGCTACATGAGCTAATGATTTGATATATATATTTTTTACAGAGCAACCGTGATCCTTGGCTATCTACCTCAAGAGCTACTTGGAACGTCCGTGTACGAGTATTATCACTCAGACGACATAGAACATTTATCAGAGGTCCATCGAAAAGGTGATTCACGTTTGATGTATTGCATTGCATGATTAATTAGCTTATTGAGGACGGAAAGATAGTCGTGATGAGATTTTCTTTAGTCTGTCAGATGTTGATTATTGGGAGACATGCAATGGTAATTTATTATGTTGCACATTTGATCACCACATTGGGGCTGCCCATTATTTTCTAAGGATAGGGTGGTTGTGATCTGGGTCAAGTGTGTAATAAACTTGCATAAATATCAGATTAAAGGTGTAATTCTTAATGGATTATTGCAGCACAAAAAGTATCTCTTAAAATCTGATTGGTTAAAAAAGTATATGTTTAAAAAAAATTAAAAATTAAAGTTATACTTTGTCTCAAATGAAATATCGGGGGCACGGGTGGCTGAGTCGTCTAAGGTGCCGCGATTCACTGTGCAGAGTTGCGTCCCTTGGGCACGCCAGAAACCTATCATTGTGGGCTCGAATCCTTGTTTCCCCCGATTATGTTTCTAGGTTTTGTCAGCACCATACTCGTGATCGTGGGTTTCACCAAAGTGGTAAATGTCTGAGACCTGCATCACTTCAGGCTTTCCTCCCACATTAAGCTGACACGCCCTGATATAACTGGAATACTGTTAAAGCGGTGTTAAACACAACTCACTCACTCACTAAAATGAAAAAAGTTTAAGTTACTAAGGTAATAACAAAATACAAAATAATTTTGAAGAACATATTACTTGTGATATTGCAATATCGCTGAAAATAATTCACTAGGAACATGGTAAATGAATATGGTAATCATCGAATAGGAATATTCCTTTTGATATAATGATTCCAATCTTCTTAAATGTGAATGTCTTGTGTTGATGTCTCAAATGAATACCTTCAAGTTATGAAAAGGGAAAAAAACAATCAGATCAACACATTTATTGTCGAACAGTTCATGGTTTAATCAAATGCCAGCATTGAGCAATGACATTAAGGAGTTAAAAAAATATAACAGGTTGGTTTCTGGTTATCTGATTCCAACGTTTTGCAAAACCATTACAAACCTTTGTTCATAAGAGACACAGTTTCTGTTTGGAAACTGTATCCATCTGATTTGAAAAAAAACGAGGAATAAATAGGGCTCATGTTAGTCTCATAGGATCTGTATAATTTTGGAAAGGAAATATTTAGAATTTGACATCAACTTTGCTAGATGTGTTGAATTTTAGACTTTTTATGTATTTCAACATTGGCATGTTGTAAACTTTGAAAAGTTTCTTAATGTAGAAAGAATAATAATTCAGGAAGTGTTTTTCCAATATAAACAGGATAGCCTGGATTATCTTTTCAATTGATTCCGATGATGGGGACATTAAGCATTTGATACGTCTGGCTTCATACTTGAAGTGCTCAATCACTATAACATCAGTTTATTTGTTTTTGTCAAGAATGATTTTAAAGGGAAATTAAAATCAACATAGAAACTTTGCAGATTTTAATACTTTAGGGGATACTTAGTCACAAATACTTGACCAGAATATATTATGAAAAACGGAAATAGCGTAAAACAGACTATAAAAAGACGACAGGCGAAGTCATCCCCAAAACAAAAACTTTCATCATAAAGGGATTCCCCTTCGTGGGGTTAAAAAGAGTTCCCTGTGTTTGATGCGCCGGCAATTTCAACAATTATGACAATCGGGCTGACGCCCAGTCTGCCTGCTTCTGCCTCGGTTTTTCTAATACTAAAGAAATAAATTGTAGTCCAGTCAAATGATCCTCATGAACAAGAGGGATCTGTGCAACATACTTGACAGAAGAGATGGTGATCGTGGTGTACGGGTACAGGGTATTTGTCATAATAGAATCGAAATATATAAGGGACCGACCATTTGGGAGACTGGATATGTTTTTAGCTACAAATGCAAAACCAGATATTGTTTTAATTGAAACCATGAGCCAATTTTCTTTTCTATGAAACACATTGCAACAATGTAATTTTAGTGGCAGGCCATTTCTCTTTTTCCTAATAATATGTAGCATAAATATTGTCACATTGTTTGAACTAGACTAACATTTAGTCTCTGAAATCTTATATTACACAATATCCTTCATTACTCTAAAAAAAATTAAAAAATTTCCCTATGCTGATTTCATTGTGGAATAGAGCTAGCTAGAGCTTGCTAGACTTGCTTTTGTATGCATTTCTAGATTATTTCATTTTTCATAAAATAAATATATTCCACGGTCATGGTGCAGGACTACTGTATTCGACATAATAAGCACCCAGGCGCTCTCAAAATTAGAAATAGGGGGCTCTTATTAGAATATTATTTTGGTGGAAAGAACAGAGTTGAAAGGTAATTTTCGTGGTTTATACTGACGGCCTGACTGTTTATATACGACACATATATTTTTCCAGAATTTAATTGCCCATACTTAAGGGTGCATATAACACACGAGTGAGTATTATACACGAATAAATAAGTCTTGTGTACATTGATCAATCGGAAGGGTTGGTAATTGGGATTGTTCACTTGCCAATATATTAGCAAATATATTCGGGGTGCTTATTACGTCGAATACGGTACATTAAATCTTTTTTCTGTCTGCTCATTCATTTGATTACTATGTCCACAATTTATGTCACCTTAGTAACAACACTGAAGATGCCTTCACTTCTTTACTCGGGGAATATTCCCTGACAGGCATGTATTGTGTGGAATAGGGCGGAGGTGGCCAGCTAGCTACCCATACAGGATGTTCGTAATAAAACACTAGTTACCGTTTTTTAATTGTTAGTTTGATTATTCACAATGTCAAGGTGAAAGGTCGTTTCACATTTTGAGCAGTGTTTGCAATGTTATTTTTGTAGGATTAACAGAAATAACAGACATAGTACAGTCAAGTCTCGTTAATCCGACACTCGTTAATCCGACAATCGGCTTTATCCGACACAAATGATGGGAACCGATTTAATCAGTGCTATTTAGACCTGTTAATCAGACAGTCTCGCACTCAGACACACCTAATTTGCAATGTATTGCTGAAATCACTCATTAATCAGTCTCGTTAATCCGATATATATGTATAACGGCTAAGCATCACAAGATAGATAAACACAGCAAACATATCAGCCAATAAAACAGTTGTCACTGCAGCACTGGTAGCCTTAGGCCACGCCCCCAAATAGGTTGGTTTTGGAATCTGATTACAGAGTGATTGACTTCAGAACTTTCCCAGGGATACTTTCTACGAATATAATGAATTTTCTCTCTCAGAAACTGACAAAATGTATTTCGAAAATTGATGTTCGCAACAAAATCGCAATCATTTTTTCACTTTACTTGTCCTTTAAGATTTTTCACTATTTATACTTATTTTTTACATGATGTACTTGTAAATTGATATATTAATTTTTATCATACATGTAATTATGTCTGCAGTGTTAGATACAAAAGAGAAGGTGGAGACAAACGTGTACCGGTTTCTAGGGAAGAATGGAAAATATGTTCATCAGAAGTCGATCTGCTTTGCCTTTTCCAACCCCTGGACGAAAGAAGTGGAATGTATTGTGTCAACCAACATGGTGGTGCAGTAAGTTTGAGATTTAATTTCAGTACTGTACATCTGGAAAGTTTTGCGAGCAGGAAAGTACTGTCAAAACTGCGAGTGACACACACATGCAATCAGTGTTCGAAATAGCTGCCCAGACTGTCTAGTTGAAAATTCGAGTCAATATTTTATTACTTCTATGAATTATCATGTCAGGTAAGGTGTCATATAATGTCAAAATCCTTTTGTTTTCATTTCATAGTTTATTGGAAACCACGCAAGGCAGTAAGCTTTGTTTTTTAGTTCACCAATTGTGTCTGACATGTGTCATCTCTGAAGTTACTTAGTTAGATCTATGCGTCATTCACTTCAAACTTGAGTCGGAATTTTCTCCTTTGTTTTAAATATTTCGAGACGAAGTCGCAACAAATGGATATTTAATCTAGAAATAGACAAATGGAAACCCTGATGGTAACAGACAAGCTGACTTTGTTCAAAAATGTACTAATATGAATATCACCGATTTATAAGGTACTATATTGGCTGTCACATCAATTACCAGTCTAAGCCTAATTTTACTGGTAAAAAACTGGTAATTACCAGTAAATAGGAACGCTGATAATTAAGTTAAGTTGAATAAGATATGTTTGAACTACATTGCCGAGTGTGGTGAACTAGACCACTCTTGTCACAGCTAGAGATTTTACAGGTGGTTCAATCAATATATACCGTACGTCTGTTTCTTTGCCAACTGGCCAGGCATCTTGGGGGGATCAGTTTTGGCCCTCCAGAATTTTTCAGATAATGTTTATGAAAGTTTTCGAAAGTTATATGACTGACAACAAGTATTGTGTTCATAATGTGTTGTCAGTGAATGTCTGCATACTCCTTCAAATATTGTGCAGTTTAGATAACGACATCTTCCCGAGGCAAGACAGTTAACTGACTAAAAAGTCCAGTTTCCACCCTTGCCGAACTAGGCTGGTATTATGGAGTTACATTTTGGCTCAACTAACGAGTCTATGCATAGTCCAATCAAAATCACACAACGAAATCGAGATCCGGTTCGTAAACTGTCGTGCAGATTTCGATCGATTGCAGGATTTACAAAGCATGTGCACCCCCAGCTTGTCCACAGATATTTTCTTAATCTTTTCATATCTTTTGATATTACGTGATTTGATGCACTTTGCGATGTAAGACCCATTTTATCACAATATAGATCTTGATTATCAATTAGATCGTCTTGACCTGGGTGCCGCCATTTTGTTTGAGGCAAATGCAAGTGATACCAGAGTTGGAATCTGATTAGTCCATGGGAGAGGCTTAGAAGGGACATAACTGGTAATAGCCACTGGTGGCGCTACGATCGAGCCCAGGAACTCCAGCCTAGTTCGGCAAGGGTGGAAACTGGACTTTTAAAATCAGTAAATGCCCTTGCCTCGGGAAGATGAGATAACAATGACCATGTGGGGATTCCGAGTTAGAAGTGGTTGCAAACAATCTATATCATGCTCGAAAGAGGCAACCAAATGGATTGGGTTGTCAGGTTCAGTGACTTGCTTGATTGCATGTCATCGTACCTCAAAAATGTGGATGGTTGCTCACAATATCAGTCACTGGTTTGTCTGGCCCAGATACAATGATATATCATATAGCTGGAATATTGCTGAGTGCGGTGTTAAACAACAAACAAACAATCAAAATTTATGAATGATAATAATTATCAGTATGCCTATCAAACCTATTGGTTGTCTTGTAAGATCTATGCCAATATTATTGGTTTTCTAACATGCCGTTTTCTTTTTTGCCGGCCATGTACAATTGCTATAAAATAAATGACTTTTTAGCATTAGTGGAATAAATCAATATCTATGATTGATCGTGGCTGTATCCTCAAAGGGGGTTGAAGTAGTGTAAAATTATTGTCCCCCTGAGAGGGTATCGTAAGTCCATATCATTCAAAGAATGTTATTCCAACTACAGTTTTAATCGTAGAATATGTGTTCCTTAAATCTGGCTACATTTATCAATTATCGCCAACACCTGAAGGGATGTTGTAAATCCGGCTGGGGTCCATGCAGGTAGCAAAAGTACTGTAAGTCCCCATGGACCCTAGCATGGTGATCTACCTTTAGTTGCTGGCGATCTATAGCCCGTTTTTATAATGTCAAGTTTTGTATCGTGCTATTGATTTTATGATTACATACTAGTTTTAACTTTATTTCTGTGATAAGTCTAGTCATTTTACTGTCCCTCGTTGGCAGGTTCTTATATAAGCTTCAATATATGTATTATATTTAACCATTGATAGTCACGATATGGCTGAAATATTGCCGATGTGACTTAAAATTTTAACTCACTCACTCACTGCTGTTTATTCATGGTAGCATCCCTGTTTACAGTGTCCCCGAGGTGTCCAGCTCTGGTCAAGCAGCAGATGCTGGGGACACTGATATGTCATCTAACTACAACTTTCCTATCGGTAAGTCTCAAATTTAAAAACAAAAATTTATCTTTTGATATTTATGTATCAAGGCCCGCTTGGGGATTCCAGGTTAGAATTCGTCCCCAGTAACATACAAAGTGACTCAATTGACCAGTCTCGGGGATTTGGTTGACTGCATGTTATCATGCCCTGCGATGTTGCTCATAATATTAATCACTGGTTTACCTAGTCCTGGCCACTTTCACAGTCATATAGGTGGATAATTGCAGAGTACTGCATAGAAACAAATAATCAAACAAACATATAAATCTTTGTTGTTTAATGTGTTTTAATCACCACAAGTGTACAGAGTTGCATCCCTTGCAAATCAAGGAATAAAATGTCTGGCCTAAATATAGAAATAAATTACGTGGCGTTATTTGCGATCATGGAGATACATACAGTATTCGACGTAATAAGCGCCCATGGCGATATTTGCTAATATATTGGCTAGTGAACAATCCCAATTAGCACCCTTTCCGACTGATCAATGTGCACAAGACTTATTTATTTTCGTGTATAATATGCGCTCATGTGTTATATGCACCCTTAATTATGGGCAATAAAAGTCTCGAAAATATATCTATTGTGTATAATACGCACAGATTCTTCACAAAATTTACAATCATTCAACTCTGTTTTTTCTCTCACCAAAAATTATATTCTAATAAGAGCCCCCTATTTCTAATTTTGAGAGTGCCCTAGGCGCTTATTACATCGAATACAGTATTTCTTGTTCTTATAATGGAGTGTGGAACATTTGGAACATGAGTCTATGGTAATTCACGTTAACAGTATTGGAAGATTCTCTTGTTTGGCTGATCTGGTATACAGGAGCTACATGTCCATAAAAAGTGTAATCCTTTATTATTTAAAGGAAAACTGTAAAAGACAATCGGTCCAACATCCTTCTCTTAAATTACGACTTGAGCAAGTAAATATGTTCAAAATATGTTCAAAATTACTGTTGACAGTGACTATTGATTGTTTTATCAAGATGAAGTGGCAGTTATTACATTGGAATTCCATTGTGACACACTTAGGTCACATGTTACTTTAGGTCTGCCAGCCTTTTAGTATGGGTCAATGGCTATCTTTAAGTGTCATCCTTGTAAAGCAAGTGTATATCGATTATACTGCAATCAACAGAATCTGAGAAGCCTAGTAAAGAGAGTCCCTCTCCTGTGCCGCGTCTGGCAATGATGCGAGGAGCGGGACGGATCGGGAAACAGATCGCAGAACAAGCCACAGAGCAGAGCAGGTAGGAACAAATCTTCCATTGTTTCATTTTTTAATTTTTTGTACCAATATCTACTACACTTAAAAATAATCTGAAACACATACACACTCAAAATAAAATATATGCATACCCGGAAATACCTGTTTCAAAATTTAAAATTTTTTTTCTGTTGTAAAGTGTATTATTGAGTTGACTAGCCCAGTTGGCAAAAGACCCGTGCTTCAGTTTAACATGGGAGCAGTTTTCTTATTTTTTTGCCTATAGCTGAATTATTGCTGACGTGGCAGAATAGCCGACACACACCCATGGGATTGTTTCCTTCAAGTTTTGTTGAGAGTTGATGTGAAATCTGTGCTGACCAATATTCAATAAGACTCGTTTGATTATTGATTACTCGAGATTGATTATGTTGACTTAGCCCAGTGGTTAAAGCGTTTGATGCTGAATAAAAGTGCTCTATTCCCAAGATGAAACCATGGTTGGAATATGGCTAGAGCAATGTTAATCTTCATTCGCTCACACATGTTGAAAGTAAATCAGGGGAGGTAATCTGTGTTCAAGCGTGCCAGGAATCATTGTCTACAAACACTAAACACTCAAACAATACCACAGAATTAGCAATAACCTGAAGAGCCCTCTAGTAAAACATATTTGAATCAAACTTCTGCTGCAGCCAATCAAATGCAAGCCAATGGTTTCCCATAAGCCTTTGCAGCTAAAATATTCTTCTGTTACCACTTGATGGCCCCGCAGTTGTGTTCTTGAAATAACAAGCCAAAGACTACAGTCATGTGGACTGCCAGACTTAAACAACCCCTGGCTTAATGGCCTTGTTTCAGCTTGAAAGACGAGATGATTATAGTAACGGCAGGCCCAGGAATTGGCACCGAATCTCCCCAGCTGCATGGGTAATAACCTGGACCTCTCTCTCTCTTTCTGATTGTACGACACTTTCTAGCACAGCTTGTGGTAATGAGGCTTGTCTTCACGGCACTGTTCTACGAATATCTTGGTGGCAGACTCAAAATGAAATGGTATCTGTTATAGAAAGAAGTAATTCTTCATTCGTATGTGAAGAAAACACAATCACATTGCTCAGGGTTATGGAACATACTTGTATATGGAGAATGTTATGGTGTAGGTTGGCATGGGATTAGGGTGTGTGGTGATTGTAACAAAACTTGTGATAATTATTGCTTTCTTCCTAGGAATACATTGGTTTCTGGTTCCAGACAATCATTTTCATCTTTCTTTTATTCTCATTCCTAAGTTTTCGAAATAAATCATATTTGTAAAGTTAATAGTCCAGTTGACCCGTGAAGATCCGGGGTAGAATAGGTCTTCAGCAACCCCGAAGACCCAACTAACGGGATCGGGTGGTCAGACCCGCTGACTTGGTTGATGCATACCATCATATTCCAATAGCGTGGATCGATGCTCATGATGTCAAACACTGGATTGTCTGGTCATATAGCTGGAATATTGCTGAGTGTGGCATTAAACTACAAACAAACAAATAATGGTCCAGTTTACCGTTAAGCATACAATTTTGAACCATTTCTGCATGCGGTTGGATTGCAGGGAGTCCGTTCTATTATTTTCAAGCTTCTTGTGTCAGAACGTTTGTCCAACTTTAAATTTTTTACATTAGTTTCAGGCTTATCAATTTTATCTTAAACATGGTGGCTTTGAACCAATTTTTAACATCTTGTTTTAGTAATTTTGAAAGAAATTACAAGGTTGTGGGCTTGGCTAAGAATTTCTCTCCTTTCACTGGTCACAGATCATGGTTTCTTTTAAAGTCATTTTTGACAAGATGAAGGAATTAATTTTGCATGTCTACATCCTTTTCAGAAGTCCGTCTCCAGTCAGTGGTAACGTTGTGCCATCTCCTGCCCTCCAGGTGAGACGTTTGTAGAAACTGCTGTTTTTCAGTTTAAATGCTTGAACAATGAGTTGGGGAAAAAATAGAATTATTGTCTTTTTAGCAAATACACAAAAATGAAGCTAAATATGCAAACAATGCTTCATGGCCTTGTGAAACTGAGACATTGTTTTTGTGCATACACAGATCCAGAGGGTGCAGAGTTGTGTCCCTTTGGTGTGCCAGAATCCTGTGATCCTAGATTCTATGTTTCTGGGCTTGTGACCATCACATACTTGTGGGGTTCAACAGAGTAGTAAACGTCAAAGATCTGCATCATTTTTGGGTTTCCTCCCATATCAAGCAGACATGCAATAACAACTGTTATGCTGTTAGAGGCAGCGGTAAACCCAACTCACTTACTCACCTTGTGATGTATTTCAGAATGACATGTCTCCGGGGACTGCCAGTAACGCAGTGTCGACAACCAATGCTGCTTCTGCTGCCAACAATGCCCAGTCTGAAGGTAAAATATGCATTCATTATTCATTTGGTTCATTGTTGATGTAACACACACATTCTTGACTTAATGCGTATAAGATTGTCGATGTAACAAACACATTCTTGACTTAATGCGTATAAGTTTGTCGATGTAACAAACACATTCTTGACTTAATGCGTATACCATTTTCCATGTAACACACACATTCTTGACTTAATGCATATACCATTGTCCATGTAACACAAACATTCTTGACTTAATGCGTATAAGATTGTCGATGTAACAAACACATTCTTGACTTAATGCGTATAAGATTGTCGATGTAACACAAACATTCTTGACTTAATGCGCATACCATTGTCCATGTAACACACACATTCTTGACTTAATGCATGTACCATTGTCCATGTTACACACATTCTTGACTTATTGCGTATACCATTGTCGATGTAACAAACACATTCTTGACTTAATGCGCATACCATTGTCGATGTAACACACACATTCTTGACTGAATGCGCATACCATTGTTGATGTAACACACACAATCTTGACTTATTGCGTATACCATTGTCGATGTAACAAACACATTCTTGACTTAATGCGCATACCATTGTTGATGTAACACACACATTCTTGACTTATTGCGTATACCATTGTCGATGTAACAAACACATTCTTGACTTAATGCGCATACCATTGTCGATGTAACACACACATTCTTGACTTAATGCGCATACCATTGTTGATGTAACACACACAATCTTGACTTATTGCGTATACCATTGTCGATGTAACAAACACATTCTTGACTGAATGCGCATACCATTGTTGATGTAACACACACAATCTTGACTTATTGCGTATACCATTGTCCATGTTACACACATTCTTGACTTATTGCGTATACCATTGTCGATGTAACAAACACATTCTTGACTTAATGCGCATACCATTGTCGATGTAACACACACATTCTTGATGGAATGCATACACCATTGTCGATGTAACACACATTCTTGACTTAATGTTATGATTGTCGATGTAACACAAACATTCTTGACGGAATGCATATACCATTGTCGATGTAACACACATTCTTGACTTAAGGCGTATATGATTGTCGATGTAACACAAACATTCTTGACGGAATGCATATACCATTGTCGATGTAACACATACATTCTAGAAAAAAAAATGAAAAGGAGTCCAACTGAAGTTAGATTGCATCAGTTCTGAAATTAAAGATTGTTTTGGGCTCCATTTGGCCTTTATTTGTTTTATGTTGTAGATATGTATTTGTCAATAAGATAACTTTATTTCCAGGACTAATTGTAAGTGGGTTTCCCAATGTGTGGGTTTATGATTCTTTATTAGACGCTGATCTTGAAGTATCCAGAGCAAATAAAGATGTTTCCTTTCTTTCAGCTTGTGTGCCGACAACATTGAATGGGCTGAGCACTCACACTCAGTCACAGCCAGGTAAGTAGGCCAGGCCAAGGTGCCATGTTTACACTCATATTGTCCTCAATTATAGTCTGGTAGGTAATTTAAGGTACCGATGTTTACTACAATATCTGAAAAACTATCGCACCTACTCCAGTAAAAGTTGGTATGAGATTATAAAACAGTCATACATAACTGGATATTACATTTAAAGACTTTCGGTGCATGAATAAAAATCTGTCTATTTAGCTATCACTATATTTCATCAACAACCAGACCTGTTCGTCACGGGTGGATTGAACCAATCAACTCAACTCGAAAGTGTTCACGGGAATCATGCACGTTGAAACACCCAACGCTAACACCATATTTGTGTGTGCGTGATTCCCGTGCACCCTTTCGAGTTGAGTTGATTGGTTCAACTGTGTCATATGGCCCTGTGATGCAGGGGTAGCATTATGCAGATGGCTGTTACAATGAGTGCTCGTTCCACCCGTGATCTGGTCTGGTTTACTACTGGTCGGTACCTTAAATTACCTTCCAGACTATACATAGGTTATCATTTCCATTCTGTTTTGTAAAGCACTCTGGAAGGATGTGCTACTATTGCTCTGTTTGGAGCCTGATTTGAATGACACTATGCTGAGCAGACCTGTCCAATTACATTACTCTCGTGAGCAAGAGAAATTCTTTGCTGAGTTAGTGAGTTTGGTTTAACGCCACTTTTCCAGTTATATCGCTGGTGTCAGCCTAATGTGGGAGGAAAGCCCGAAGTGATGCAGGTCTTTACCACTTCGGTGAAACCCACGAGCACGGGTATGGTGCTGACAAACCTAGAAACATAATGGGGGCGAACTGGGATTTGAACCCATAATCATAGGTTTTCGGCATGCCAATGGACGCAACACTGGATTACCCATGCCCCCCTTTGCTCAGTCAGAAATGGGAGCGATAGAGGTGGTGACAGCATTTCTGAGACGAAGCTATGGTGCTGAAAGGGTACAGGGTATTATCTGTAATAGTATGGGGATATATTGCTCCAGAGAATAAGAGCAGATGCTCCTGTGTATAAGAAGTGAATTGTGTCAATAGCCATTATTTTACCCCATCTGTCTGCATAAGTTCAATTCTAGATGTTAAGAACAAGAATGAAGCTCAGGGAATCCTTGTCAATGTTAGAACTGACAGGTTTGGGTCACCCGAAGATCTGAATGTGCTCAAACACTATTGATATCACACATGAAGCTACTCAAACACTATTCATATCACACATGCAGGTACTCAAACACTATTCATATCACACATGCAGGTACTCAAACACTATTCATATCACATATGCAGCTACTCAAACACTATTCATATCACATATGCAGGTACTCAGACACTATTCATATCACACATGCAGGTACTCAAACACTATTCATATCACACATGCAGGTACTCAAACACTATTCATATCACATATGCAGCTACTCAAACACTATTCATATCACATATGCAGGTACTCAGACACTATTCATATCACACATGCAGGTACTCAAACACTATTCACATCACACATGCAGCTACTCAAACACTATTCATATCACATATGCAGGTACTCAGACACTATTCATATCACACATGCAGCTACTCAAACACTATTCATATCACACATGCAGCTACTCAGACACTATTCATATCACACATGCAGCTACTCAAACACTATTCATGTCACATATGCAGGTACTCAGACACTATTCATATCACACATGCAGCTACTCAAACACTATTCATATGATATGTGCAGTTACTCACACATATTACACATGCAGGTGTCAAAAAACTTATCATATGACACGTGAATTTTCAAATGAATTATTATTATCTAGCATGTATCTGCTCAAGATATCAGTCACTGAATTGTCTGGCCCAGACTTGATTTTTTACAGACCGCCGTCATATACTGGAATATTGTTGTGTGTGGCATTAAACAACAAACAAAAAGACAAAACTACTTATTGATTTTTTTACCAAGAGTTCTCTGTCCTGTTTCAGCCACTTCCAATGACTCTGTGCTGTTTGCCAACGTCATCCAGGAGCAGGATGAAGACAAGCGACAGAACCCAAGCACAGACAACAATGATGAAGCTGCACTTGCATTCCTCATGAGTTTACTAGAAGCAGATGCTGGTCTTGGGGGCCCTGTAGACTTTAACAATCTTCCCTGGCCATTGTGATGAAGTAGTTTAATAGCTATGACGTGTGGACATGCCTGAGGCCATCATGGAAATGGAATTGTGGGTAAAGACGCCTACTGTGCACCCTACCGGTGATTCTGTACCTAAACAAAGACAGATCGTAACACAGGGCTAAAAAATCTCCAGGTGGTCGAAGGAATGGGACATTGTGATCTGATTTGGTGCATTAGATGAAAGGGAAATGCCTTTGTTTTTGTAATACTGTTTTAAAAAATCAAAACTTGGCCATTTCATTTCTTAAGGACAGTTTTAACTGCCTCCATTTTGAATTTGCAGAAAGAAGGTTGTGAAGAAATTATTCCAAAGTGCCGGAGGAGGTATGTTCTCATCTATCCTCACTAAGATAATGGTAGTGAGGAATTCATCCAGAAGTGCCAGATAAACTATTTTCTTTGATTTGATTCTGACATGGATGATTTGTAAAGACATCATCCAAACTTAATCTTCATGGCAGTGAGGAAATCTTTCAGAACAATGCCTTCTCTGAATATGGTAGTGAGCACAGCGGCTAGAGCAAGTCTCTGTTGTATTTGTGTCACAATGGTCACATACCATAGCAAAAGCAAAAGCATCAACCATGAGAAATGAATGACACAGCTTCATTTTCAGTCAGTTTGAAATGAAAGAAGAACTGTTCATTATTTTGTGCCTAGAACTCAACTATTGTTGTTTGTTAAGGAATGAGAAGTCAGTTGTATAGGAACTGGTCACCGTTTCATGAACCATTATGTAACCACTGGTTACAGATTTGGGTTTCATTTAGTGATGACAGATGCTGGTTACAGATGTTGGTTACAGTTGTTGGTTACAGATGTTTGATGAAAAAAGGCACCTCTGAGACAGAGAAATGTTGGGTCAAAGGTCATAGAACCCTTATGCCATTGGCTGTTGGACAGCCTCCAAAAAGAGCTGATTGAAGCGCCAACGGTTGTCTCCATCCACTTGGTTGGATGTTGTGGTGAGATGAAGTAAATCAAGATGTCTTATCAGCATTGTATATGTTGAGGAAGAGGTGCTTGGACAATTCAGCTCAGTGATAAATTGTGTGTTTGGTGAAGAAATGAGGACCACAGAACCCTGGAAGTTCAGAATTATACTCTATGACAAGATTGTTTGCTCTGATGTATCATGTGTAATTGAACAAGGTCACATTCATTTGTGCATAGGTGATGAAATATGTCATTAGCACTTGGATTTTTGAAAATATGACAAGATATCTCAGGTTTTGTGTTACTTGCGACTGGTGAAAGATGAGTTCATTCTCTTGTGCAAAAATCAGCCTTATATAGACTGTCATCTGATGTTAAGCCTTCATTCCTATGTGTGTTAAACTCACGGTATGCATGTTGAAACCCTATTCCAGTTAAAGGCCAATAACAGCAATAGTGAATATGCTCACTGTACAGCTGGAAAGAACATGAGTGGAATAATGGCCGCCAACTACAAATATGTTGAGCATGGTTCTGTGATGTCCAGAGGAGCTTGTGTCTTGAATTTATTGAACTCTGTTTTGCCTTCCAAAGGACTTGTTGATGAAGTGATGAGATCGTGATAGACTGTTATGTTTCAAGTGTATATAATGGTCACATGAACAGTTTGTATAGTATTGTAAGTTATAAAAGATACCTGTATTGTTGACAATGTTATTGTGCCTGAATATGTGTATTGCCTATCTTTGTTCATGGTGTTCAGTTAGATGATATTTGTTGCTTTGAAATCCTTGAGACACAAAAATAATTTATTTATCCTTGATCTGTTGTGTTTTGTCTGAATATATATTTATATGCCTCTGTTGAGACATATTTAATATAACTGTATCATGTACATATTTGAAATGTATCCAGATTTTATGAACTCATATTTTATAAAAGTATCATCAGGCATCAATTTAAATTCTTAGTAAACAGATTTTCCTGACAAAATGCCAACATAGAGATGTTGTAATGTTGATTTGATGATAATTTTTCTTTAAAAAAATCATAAGATAAATACAAACAAAATCTTGTTAAACATGTTAAGTAAATGCATTTATAATTTCATTCATTCTTTTGAAGTTAGGCTACATAGAAAACACATACGTCTGGCCTAGTTTCAACATAAGTCACATCAAATTTCTTCTCTTGTTTCCTATTTTATTCACATACAAAAGGTTTTCTTTAAGAACCAAGAAGTCGATGATTACCATTGCTGTTCTATGCACTGAAATTCATGCTCATCGGATTATCCATTCACAATGCAGTAAGACTTGATTCATGTACTGACAGGTTGCTTTAGGTTTTCTTGGGGTTCTTTTTCAGTTAAAATTCAACAAAAAGGACAGGTTAGTTTTCAATGAAAATGCAAGTATGTTTATTCCAAGTACAGATTGTATAGAAAACTAGAGTCCCTAAAATAAAAGTTTGATCTCAGTTAAAGGGATGTTACACACATTGCCCAGAAGTCTGTGGTCCAACAAATTGCTGTCCAGAGTTGCATCCCTTGGCTATGCTTGGATCCACTGATCCAATGTTCGAACAGCAGATTCAATGACATAATGATGTCACAACCCTAGTTAAAGGTTCCACCTATCAATATTGTAAACGACCATGACCTGCACCAACTCTTCTACATTATTGAATCCCCGAAGATCCGGGTTAGAATGGGTCTTCAGCAACCCATGCTTGCCGTAAAAGGCGACTACGTTTGTCTTAAGAGGCGACTAAAGGGAACAGGTGGTCAGGCTCACTGGCTTGGTTGATGCATGTCATCGATCCCAATTGTGTGGATTGATGCTCATGATGTCAATCACTGCATTGTCTGGTCCAGACTCGATTATTTACAGACCGCAGTCATATAGCTGGAATATTGCTGAGTGTGGCATTAAAAAACAAACATTATTAAGCTGACAGGCCATGACGTAACAGACATTCTGTTCAATGTGGAAATAAACTTTCAATGAAATGTTTCAGTTGGACAAGGCAGATGTGCATTCATTAAGGAGACTTTCTGCAGGAATTTATTTTGATGTTCTCAGATGCCAAAATTCGGTGCAAGGTTACAGCAGATATAAGTAGCAATTTCCAATCTGTTCCCGATTCAAGTTTTAACTATTATATTTATAAGCTGTGCAAAGATGTTTTTTACTTCACTGAGAAAATGACCACGAAAGAGAAAAAGGTTTCATGCTTTGTTTAGCTGAAAATTTAGTGAATGTAATGTTAGAATATTCCAGAATTTAATTTTGACCCCCAAAATGTTTTCAACAATTGGCTTACCATAGGAATTTAGTTTAGATACAACCCTGATCTTAATACAGCATGCATGATGTATGCTTAGTAGCATACAGTTCTTAAACACACAAAATAATATTTGTTATCATATACATGTTCTACTAAAAGATTCATCATGATCACATAGTGATTGAACAGAAATATGTTCCATATAATTTTATACCATTTTCTGATTAGCGATGTTGAAACAAAATGTGAAAATGTTAAAAGGCAAGCTAAATTCATTGAAGGTTTTTGTTGACATTTGAAAAGCTTTCAAAACACAAATTTCGAAAGGCCTATCTACTCAGTTGGGTTTGGTTATTTGTTGTTTAATGTAGCACCCAGATATATTCCAGCTTTATGACGGCTTTTGCAAAAATACTTGTTTGGTGATAGAGATAAATGAGATCTAAAGTGCCTTAGTAAATCAATTTAATTGATGTTGATACTTGGTTTATTGAAATCGATAGTTTGCTTTTTGAAGTTAATATTATGTTTATTGAGGTCAATAAAATGTTTATTAATGTCAATAGATTTCTTTTTGAGGTCAATAAAATGTTTGTTGAGGTCAGTAAAATGTCTTGTCAAGGTGCAGAACAATCATTAGGAGTATGAACAGCTTACAGTACATACCATAGAAATCCTGAAACATAAAAAGATTCTACAAACATCATTCAAAATTAGTAACTAGCAACTTCTTAAATGACAATTTTCAAATGCATTGTATATAGAGGCTGGCAACTGCAAAAAAAGAAAAGAAAAAAGGAACAAAGCCTCACAAGTTCATGCCAAATAGAATACATTAATATTGAGCTTCAAAAAGAATTTCTTTATATTTCGACCAATCATGACCATTTTGTTGGTTGGGCAAATCTGTTAACCTTAAAATGAAAAAAAGTGAAGTGTGGCCTGACGTTGTGTTTTCACAGATCAAGGCAATAGACTTTAACTGGATTCCTTGAGTGTTCCTTAGAAGTGTTTTAATGTGAAAGATGTTCGAAACAACGATAATTATGTTTCTGTATGACAATCAAAGACCCAGAATAGTATTTTTAAGAATATTGCATATGTCAATATTACAAGGATATTTTGGATTTATACCATTCCCACCCCATTTTATCAACGACAAAATATCCAAATTTGATAAAAAATTCAATGTATAGAATATCCGTGTGGATAAGAATATTTTCTGTGTAATATATATTTTGAGGCCTTCAGAGTTTTTTAAGTATATATAAGTGTCCTGAGCAGTGTGTTGTTTATATATGACCTATTGTGTTCCTGACTTCGGGATGGGACAGTCTTGTGTCTTATGTTAAATAAAAAGACTTCAGATTTGTATATTTTTTATTTTATGATTTTGTAAATGGCAATCTCGTCCTACTGTTACGTTGTTGTTTAATGTACAATATATGTCATCTTCCTCTGAATAATAGGGCATGTTTAAGAAAATTCTAACCAGGCATTTGATAAGAAATGTTAAAAATCTGTAATTCCTTGGATCTTTTGGTGCCAACATTTGGTACATTTTGGAACCAAGTTCTTGGGACTCACATGATGACAGAGGACGGGCTGGAACATGAATTTTTAGTTTGTTTTATTATGACTAGTGTAATATATATATATATATATATATGTGTGTTTTCATGATAACTACTAATATATATGAATGAGTACTGTGTTGTTAGATCCATATTTAAACACTTACAAGAGCGGAATATTCTCTTGACATAACAATTTATTGTACTTACATAAATAATGACAATAGATTTGAAGTTAAATAGGAGTCAAAGGTTTATATTTATGTTAAAGTGATTTTATTTAGTTTGTAAAATGACAAATTTTATATTTATGTGATTTCATGATTATTGTTAATGCATATGATGATTATTGTTAATGGCTTCAGATTCATTGTTAAACATACAACTTACACGAGAGTAAAATTATCTTGACATGACAATTTTATAAGGCAATGCTTTTAATGTTGAATAGGATATCAAAGGGTTTTGTTTAACACCCGCAATACATATTTTAATGTTCAATGATTTTTTTAAAAACAATTTAGTGTTGCCTTCAAAAGAAGTTTGAAATGAAAAAGAAAAGGTGATGTGTTTAAGAGCATTAGGGAACACTGAATACAGGACTCTTAATACGTGGAATATGCAAATATTCATGTGTGCGTCATCTGTCAATATGTATTTGAATCCCACCTGTCACCACTGTGTTCAATGATATGTTAATACAACCATTGTGATGACATTAACCACTAACCATAGTGATGCCTGTCAACAGGTTTAATGTATTCATGGAAGAAACATATTTTTGAACTTATCCTATCTCACTCTATGCATTTCTCATTCTTCTTTCGATCCTGAGGGGAAATGTGCCTCAAACCATGGTTCCCAGCTTCTAACAAAACAGTACACCCGAACACACCTAGACTCACAAAGGCCACCTCACAACTCTCTGGGTCCCACTTTTCATGCCAGTCGACCTACACGCACTGAACACGTGATTTCCCTGGCTAAATCATTCTTTGTCCAATCGTCAACATTCGGTGACATGCTCTCGCAAGAGAATCCATATGTCTTTTCTCTTTTTTCAAATTTTCCCTCTTTGAAGACGTTGTGACTTCTCCTTTGGTTGTTTTTTTTCAACATTGTGATGCCTGTCAATTATGTTCATTGAAGAAACATGTTGTTCATTGTTCATGTGTTCATGATGTTTTCAGCTGCATTTTTCTGTTACGCATGACGTTATAATTGGCTTAACACAGGTCATGTATTCATGTTCTTCAATTTTGCTATGGTTCTGTATGGTTAAACTGGTCGTAAGTTCATAATTTTACAGTACAATTATGAGATTTTTCTACGCATTTGTATGATGAATTTACAATTGGATGTCTTCTGTCTTGTTCAAAATGCCTCCTTCTTCAAGGAAGGAATATCTTAAGTGAAAACATCTCTATCTGAAGAACTTTCAGTAAGAATATTTGTTGAGAACATTTCTGTTAGTTATTATGGTAATGAGAGTTATATATGCATTTTTAGATGTATCACATTTTGGGCTCTGTATCTGGGAGATGCTAATGGGATAAGACTATATTCAGGATTGTGAGAAGTGACAGTCATCAGGACAGTCTGCTCCTCAGCTACCAATCTCAAAGATTCCTGGTTTTTTTACCAAAGTTGGTCGTAATTAATTTTCTTTTGGTGGGGAACAGAAACCGAATCTTTGCAAGTGAAGTCTCTGTACGTTTTGCTACAGTTGTACCATAGTGTCTTGTTGTAAATGAACTTTTAGAAGTATTTCAGAAGAGGTTCTGCCAATGAAATATTTCAGTATATCACTTATACTGTCACTTTTGGTTATGTCAAATCACCTTGTGAATCCCCTCTATTATTGTAGTGACAAGGGATAGGGTCTTAACAAAGCATCTCTGACATAAAAACAGGACTAAATGTGTGAATGTCTTTATACCATAAAGTCTTCACATGCTCAATCGTTTAAGGATAACACCAAACGCATTAGGTTACCCAAGTTTTTTTTGTTCTTTCAGTTTTAAGTTTTTAAATGATACACATACATCTTTAATTATTAAAACAATAGTTGTATTTAGATAGAAATACCTAATTGAAACATGCTTCAAGATGAAGATGTTTGCAGTTGAGTGTTAGCCTTCGGAAGATTGTTAATGGTACACTTATTTGGGTACCAACATCCATGTGTCTAACATTCCAGTTTACTCTATGAACTTATGCTTGAACCTATGGGAAAGCAGTGCTGATTGTTGAGCCTACTGCATGACGTGACAGCTTGATCCTGGGACGTCCACTCAGATGGGACCTGTATGGTGTTTGTTGTGAATGGTGCCAGGCCAGTGGTCAGCTTGACATCTTGTTACACAATAAATTATTTTAGAAAAATACTTGTTTTGTTATAAATATTGCAACATCATGGAAAAATTTCAATTTGTCTGTATGTTGTATAACACTGCATTCTGCACCATTCCAGCTATGAAACAGTGGTCTTAAATGATAGAGTCAGAACAAGGTAAACCAGACACTGATCTATTGAACACAGATCTATGTCATGGAGGTATGACACACTATCAACAAAGTCACCAAACCTGACTGTTTGATTGGCATTCTAGAAGTTTGACACTCCAGCTTGATAATGGTGTAAGAACCTACATCGAAACGTTGCTATATGCAATAGTGAGCGAGAGTGAGTTTGGTTTAACGCCCCTTTTAACAGAATTACAGTTATTTTGGGGCGTGTCAGCTTAATGTGGGAGGAAAGCCCGAAGTGATGCAGGTCTCAGACGTTTACCACTTCGGTGAAACCCAGGAGCACGGGTATGGTGCTGACAAACCTAGAAACATAATTGGGGCGAACCGGGATTTGAACCCACAATCATAGGTGTCTGGCGTGCCCAAGGGACACAACTCTGCACAGAGAATTGCGGCGCCTTAGACGACTG